GCAAATTAGCGATAGCAACCTTTGACGGACATGGGACAAAAACTAGTATTGTAAATGTACACGGACCGCATAGACAAAACGACAGACATTTTTATCATAAACTACATAAACTATTGATAAATAAATACAAAGATCATAAAATTATCCTAGCCGGAGATTTCAATTTTGTTGAGGATAAACTCGACATAATAGGTCCAGACGACAGCATACGAAAACGTTTGGCTGGTGACAAACTCTACATAGACATATTCACCGAGATTAAAGCACTCTTTAAATTAGTCGACACGTTCCGAACGCTTCACCCACACGACATCCAAATAACACATGCATCCAAAGCTCCAGCAAACAAATACAGACTCGACCGAATCTACGTCCAGACAGATACAAAAATCAACAGAGTAGAACACCTGCCACAAACCCTACAATTCAGCGACCACACAGCAGTCTTGACAACCCTTAACGAAGAACTAACTTATAACAAAAAGAAAAGAAGCACTTATTGGAAGCTTAACAACTCTCTACTGTTAGATGAAAGATACATCAGAACAATTAAAAATCTAATTCAGTTTTATACACAGTCTGCACCTAACACTTACAAAATAGAGCATTGGAATAATCTAAAAGGGGATATTAAACAAACATCAATCCAAATTGCAAGCAGTATTAATAGCGCCAGGACACATATAGAATCTATCATCCAAAGAAAACTTAGCCTATTACGGGGAAATGACAACAATAAAGAACAAATAGACACATTAGAGCGGGAACTTACAGAAATACAAGAACACAAATTCAAAGGAGCACTAATTAGGAGTAGGATAGGAAAAATAGGCTCCGAAGATCCCACGCATCACACTCTAATTTTAGAACAAAGCATTCAAAAGTCAAAACAAATCACACACCTTATAGACCACAACGACCAGGTAACGACTGACCCTGAAAAAATACAAGCAGTGTTTACTGATTACTACACAAGACTTTACCAACTGGAAACGACAGACAACGACAAACAGGACAAATACTTAAAATTCACTAAACCTCTAAATGACGACGACAAAAATCGCATCAACACCCCCCTCCAGAAAGATGACATCACTAAAGCCATTCTAAAACTAAATATAAATAAGTCGCCAGGACCCGACGGGCTAACCAGCGAATTTTTCAAAACCTTTTCATCCGACTTAACCCCCCTTCTCCTAGACACCTACAGAGAAATGTTTTTGCTAGAACAATGCCATGAAAATTTTAACAGATCTTACATAACGCTAATACGCAAACCTAAAACCGACCCCAAACAAACACAAAACTATAGGCCGATCTCTCTTTTAAACACAGACTACAAAATCCTAACAAAAATTTTAGTATCTAAATTAGAACCACATCTCCACAAGCTCATTCATCTAGATCAACAATGTAATATTGCCGGTAGGAACATTCAAAACCACAATCACCTAATTAGAGATATCATTCAATACACACAGGAAAAAAATATACAAGCAGCCATACTTAGCCTTGACCAAGAAAAGGCTTTCGACAGAGTAGCACATTCATACCTTTTCAAAATTCTAGAAGCTAACAATTTAGGAACATATTTTTATAAATGGATCAAAATAATCTATCATAACGCTCAAAGTCAACTTTTAATAAATAACAACATCACCAAACCCTTTCCTATCAATAGATCCGTCAGACAAGGGTGTCCTTTATCTCCTATCTTATACATATTAACACTAGAACCGCTCCTAGAATGCATCAGGCTCACCAGAGAAATCCGAGGCATAGACTTACCAAATCTGACAAATAAAAAAATCTTAGCATATGCTGACGACACAGCTTTCACCATACAATCGGAAAAATCCATCACACAAATAATCGACCTTTTCCTCGATTTCGGACCTGCTAGTGGGACAAAAATTAACCTTACGAAAACTAAAATTTTGGGGTTTGGACGCTGGACGAACAAAGAAAACTACCCACAAAACCTGACGGGGACTAACAAATTGAAACTTTACGGAATAACCCACCATAATAACCCACAAGACACAAATGAAGAAGAATGGAATGAAATGACCAAAAAAATCAAAAACACCTTAGCACTTTATAAATTTAGCACAACAACAATTTTTGCTAGGTCAGCTATTATCAACCGGTACATCATCCCCAAAATTATTTATATAGCCACAGCAAAAACAATCTCAAAAAAAATAATCAAAACCATTAACATACTCATTAGAGAGTACATATTCCAAGGCACTATTAGAAACATTAGTCATAATACGCTGGTTCAAAACAAACATAAAGGGGGAATCAACCTACACGACATTCAAACAAAAATTAACACATTTAGAATAACACATATCGGAAGAATAATTGCACAACCACACTTTCACCCACTAGCACACTACTACATAGGCATTCAGCTCAATAAACTCACAAAACTAAACAACAAATCACCCCACTTTTTTGGTCAAGAAGTTAGCGCCTTTTACAAAGAATGTTTACAATCACTTAAAAACAATGAAAAACTCATACACAACAAATCCCAAAATATCTACCAAAAATTAGTACAAAAACTATCAACCCCCCTTTTTAATCGAATCAAATGGTGTTCCAAATTCGCCCTAACAGATACAACAGACACTTTTCGGAACCTACACCTGAAAAACATTACACCTAAAGCTAGGGAAATAACATACAGACTAATCTACAATACAACACCGATAGGCCAAAATCAAACCGCCTACTGCCCACTATGCAGACAAAACACAATAGAAACAGAAACACACATCTTTTTAGAATGCCCCACCATACAGACAATGAAAAACAACCTTAGGGCCAAAATAACTAGTAAAAAAGACACATTCAATGTCGATATAGCTATAACGCTAAACAAACTACCTAAGCAAAAAGACCGGACAGACTTAGAAGACAAAGCAAGGACTGTAGCTATTTATAGACAAACCATATGGACTAGTAGAAACAGAGCTAAATTCGAAAATTCACAGTTTACGGGACAGATTTTAGATTTAATTTTTAGCAGACGACTGGACAAATATAGCACATCAACACACAAACTATAAATAGTAACACCCCAGTAGTCAGTTCACACACAACACAGTCTCTTACGCCTGGCTCGCCTTAAACTCACACACTCAATGCCCCGTCAACCACCGCGACCCGCCCCTTACCTTCAGCGTTCATGTCACGCAACAATGATCTTGCTGCCTAGCCTATTTTACCCAACCAACCTTTACCTTCGCCTCTACCTCCCCGCCCCATCAACTTTCTCCCCTTAAATCTAGTTTATTCATGTAACTCTTAGGCATACTGTGTTTGTTAGGGAACTTTAAATTGAATTTTTTTTTTTTTTTTTTTTTTTTTTTTTTTTTTTATATACTGTCATTGAGATCCGTCCCTCACCCTCACTAGCTATGTAACGCATCAATGATCCCGCTGCCTGGTCAGCCTTCTCAACCAACCCTCACCCCTCACATACACCTCCCCGCCCCACGATGTTTCCTTCCCTTTAAATTTGCATATCAATGTAACCTCTAGGCACATGTTGACAGCTTGGAGTTGTTGTTGCCATGTTATTGTATTATGTATTTACATTGCCCTTCACGGCAAGCCCTATACTGCGAACAGCAGCTAGTAATTAAATTGCTTTATTTATTGATGTTACCACCACGGACCTATCATTTTGTCGGCAAATAAGTTACAAACCAACCTTTTTTCATTGTTGAAGCAATGGTCTTTCAATTCAATATACCTTTTGTATTCCATTTACATATTTTGCTATTTATTTACTGTACTCTTTCACCAATGCAGCTATATTGTAAATATCCACCCAAATGGTGTGGAATGTTTTTGGAAATGTTTTTTTAAATTCTGTTTATCCATGTAACTCTTATGAACATTTTGATGTAACGCATCAATGATCCCGCTGCCTGGTCAGCCTTTCCCAACCAACCCTCACCCCTCACATACACCTCCCCGCCCCACGATGTTTCCTTCCCTTTAAATTTGCATATCAATGTAACCTCTAGGCACATGCTGACAGCTTGGAGTTGTTGTTGCCATGTTATTGTATTATGTATTTACATTGCCCTTCACGGCAAGCCCTATACTGCGAACAGCAGCTAGTAATTAAATTGCTTTATTTATTGATGTTACCACCACGGACCTATCATTTTGTTGGCAAATAAGTTACAAACCAACCATTTTTCATTGTTGAAGCAATGGTCTTTCAATTCAATGTACCTTTTGTATTCCATTTACATATTTTGCTATTTATTTACTGTACTCTTTCACCAATGCAGCTATATTGTAAATATCCACCCAAAACGGTGTGGAATGTTTTTGGAATGTTTTTTTTTAAATTTCTGTTTATCCATGTAACTCTTATGAACATTTTGACACCTTGGTTTCCCACTTTCCGAAAGTTTTGTAATTGTAATATGTATTCAAATGGCCCTTCACGGCAAGCCCTACATTGAGAACAGCAGCTAGCAATTTAAATTGCATTATTTTTTTATGTTCCCACCACGGATCTATCTTTCTGTTGGTAAACAGGCAACAAACCAGCCTTTTTTTTCATTGTTTAAGCAATTGCCTTTCAATTCAAATTACCTTTTGTATTCCATCTACATAATCTGCAATTGCCTTTCAATTCAAATTACCTTTTGTATTCCATCTACATAATCTGCTATTTATTACCTGTACTTTTTCACAAATGTAACTATATTGTAAATATCCAACCAAATGGCGTGGAATGTTATTGTATTTGTACTTGTTTTAAATTGGAAAATAAAAGTATTATATATATAAAAAAAAAAAAAAAAAAAAACGTTTCATCACGCTTTAAAGTAAAAGAAGACATGTTATTTTATGTATTATTTTTTATTATGTATGTTACAAATTTCTACATAAATATTTTTATATAAAAGTAAAAAAAAAGAGGAAGAAGTTAGATGTAAAAAAAAAACAAAAAAAACAGCGTGTTTTTCCCGTGACAAATCAAATTTTAGGAAAAGACACAACCAGCTGTACAATCTCCTGACTTTTTTTTAAACGTCGGCTCAGTCATCTTAAAGTCACCAAAATGTTCTTGAGCGGCGTAAAGAGACCAACCCGCTGTCGTTCGTTAGTTGATGGCGTTGAAAAAAAGGGCTGGCCCAAACAAGCCCATTCCTCCCAAGCCGGCTCCAAGCCCACCTGCTCCGCCTAGCTGGCCGGACAGCATGGAGGCGTAGAGCATTTTGTTGAGGTCTAGGCCAGAGAAGGCCATGTACGCCATCAGGGGGTTGCCGAGCATGGGGTTACCTGAGGGGGAGCCGGTGCCGGGGCCCATTCCAGGGAACTGCGCTGGAGACGAGAAAAAATATGTAAAATATTTTTTTTAAAGGGAAATAATGATTTTTTAAAAAGGGAAATAATTTTTTAAAAGGGAAATAATTTTTTAAATAAAAAGGGAAATAACTTTTTAAAAAGGGAAATAATTTTTTTAAATAAAAAGGGAAATAATTTTTTTAAAGGGAAATAATTTTTTAAAGAATTTGTTGAATAACTTTTTAAAAGTGTGAGATAATGTTTTTTTAAAACAGATTTTGTTGAGTAACTTTTCATTTATGATTTTAGAAATATGTAAAATAACTTTAAAAAAAAAAGTAAAATAATGTAACGATTTTGTTGAAGAAACATTTCATTGAAAATATGTGTAAAATAACTTTTAATGTGAAATTAATGTTTTGATTATTTAATAATCTCTCAATAATGATTTTAGAAAGGTTTTGAAAAACACATTTTTAATGTGGATGTAGTTTAGAAATATTTTGTAAAAACTTCTTTTTAAATGTACAAAAAAAAAAAAGAAAATGGCACGCAATCTTTATTTTTTGACTCTTCTGTTTTCAGATAATTTTAACTACCTGCCTTTCCCGTGGTCCAAATAGTACTAGAAAATGGCACACATTTTAGAAAAATATAAGGTTATCAAAAATAAAAAATGTGTGATAGTTTGCCTTCTATGGTCTAAAAATAGCTGAGATTGGTTATATATATATATATATATATATATATATATATATATATATATATATATATATATATATATATATATATATATATATATATGCCTATACGAAGGACTTTAATCTTAAAAGAAATTGACAAGTCACGTATTTGAACTGATTTTTTATTTTTATTTCAAGCTTCCTACCTGCCTGATGTGCATGCTATTCGCATGTCGAATGTAGAGAAGTATCATGCAACTTGGATTAGTGTCAACGTGTTTATTTTTTAACTTAGGTTTAAAATACATTTTTCTTAAAAATATCTGATAGTTATAACCTTTTCCTAACTTAACCCTCAATCTCCAACATACCCTCGGTAAATGGATAAATAAATCTGTTTTTGGAATCACATGTAAGGGTAGCTCCAAACCCACACCACCAGACTACACCCACACCATCAGACTACAATCACCACCATCAGACTACAATCCCTACCATCAGACTACAATCCCTACTATCAGACTACAATCCCTACCATCAGACTATAATCACCACGAGCATACTACAATCACCACCATCAGACTACAATCCCTACCATCAGACTACAATCCCTACCATCAGACTACAATCCCTACCATCAGACTATAATCACCACGAGCATACTACAATCACCACCATCAGACTACAATCTCTATCATCAGACAACAATCCCTACCATCAGACTACACCCATGTTATCTATACCCCCCCCATTACCATACTACACCCTATCACCACCAAACTACACCCTCCCACCACCAAACTACACCCTCCCACCACCAAACTACACCCTCCTACCACCAAACTACACCCTCCCACCACCAAACTACACCCTCCCACCACCAAACTACACCCTATCACCACCAAACTACACCCTCCCACCACCAAACTACACCCTCCCACCACCAAACTACACCCTATCACCACCAAACTACACCCTATCACCACCAAACTACACCCTATCACCACCAAACTACACCCTATCACCACCAAACTACACCCTCCCACCACCAAACTACACCCTCACCACCACCAAACTACACCCTATCACCACCAAACTACACCCTCCCACCACCAAACTACACCCTATCACCACCAAACTACACCCTCCCACCACCAAACTACACCCTCCCACCACCAAACTACACCCTCCCACCACCAAACTACACCCTCCCACCACCAAACTACACCCTCCCACCACCAAACTACACCCTCACCACCAAAATACCCCCCCCATTATCATACTACACCCTCCCACCACCAAACTACACCCCCACCACCAAACTACACCCTCCCACCACCAAACTACACCCTATCACCACCAAACTACACCCTCCCACCACCAAACTACACCCTCCCACCACCAAACTACACCCTCCCACCACCAAACTACACCCTCCCACCACCAAACTACACCCTCCCACCACCAAACTACACCCTCCTACCACCAAACTACACCCTCCTACCACCAAACTACACCCTCCCACCACCAAACTACACCCTCCCACCACCAAACTACACCCTATCACCACCAAACTACACCCTCCCACCTCCAAACTACACCCTCCCACCACCAAACTACACCCTCCCACCACCAAACTACACCCTATCACCACCAAACTACACCCTCCCACCACCAAACTACACCCTATCACCACCAAACTACACCCTCCCACCACCAAACTACACCCTCCCACCACCAAACTACACCCTCCCACCACCAAACTACACCCTCCCACCACCAAACTACACCCTCCCACCACCAAACTACACCCTCCCACCACCAAACTACACCCTCCCACCACCAAACTACACCCTCCCACCACCAAACTACACCCTATCACCACCAAACTACACCCTCCCACCACCAAACTACACCCTATCACCACCAAACTACACCCTCCCACCACCAAACTACACCCTCCCACCACCAAACTACACCCTCCCACCACCAAACTACACCCTATCACCACCAAACTACACCCTCCCACCACCAAACTACACCCTATCACCACCAAACTACACCCTCCCACCACCAAACTACACCCTATCACCACCAAACTACACCATCCCACCACCAAACTACACCCTCCCACCACCAAACTACACCCTCCCACCACCAAACTACACCCTCCCACCACCAAACTACACCCTCACCACCAAAATACCCCCCCCCATTATCATATTACACACTCCCACCACCAAACTACACCCTCCCACCACCAAACTACACCCTCCCACCACCAAACTACACCCTATCACCACCAAACTACACCCTCCCACCACCAAACTACACCCTCCCACCACCAAACTACACCCTCCCACCACCAAACTACACCCCCGCCCTTTTGTTACTCACCAAGACACGCGTGTAATGAGATAACAACCACCAAAACCACGCAGACGATGTGTGAGTTCATTTTCTTAAATCTGAAAACAACAAAACACAGATTAGACCACAATTAACCAGAGTTCAGAGTTCACAAGAAACATTACTCCAATCAGTCGTAGTATACACGAATCAGAAGGACGAATCAACTTTAACTTCTGGCTTGAATAAGCTTCTCTGTCAGCATTTCATAAAACATAAGTATTTGATAAATAAGTTAATACAATAAATGGCTCCATAGTCTGATAGAAAATTAGATGATAATGCCTTAAAAATAAAAATCAAGATGCAAAAACTTGGACAGAAAGTTAAGAACAGTGTTTCTTCCAGACTTTTTCTCCGGGGGGGCACTTGAAATCTTCGGGGGGGCGGTAAACTTTCTTCGGGGGGGCGGACACTGTTAAAAGTATATATTTTCTATATAAATTATATGAATTTCATTTCGTTCGAGGGGGCGGTAAAAAATTTTCGGGGGGGGGCTTCGCCCCCCCGAAGAGATGCCTGGAAGAAACTCTGGTTAAGAACACTCTACTGATGGATCCAAGAGAGAGGCTTAACCTAGACAACTTGGCACCAGCTGTGTCGCATGAGCTACAAAAAAGAAACCAGAGTTGGTAATCCTATTTTCTAAAGGGCTCCACTTTTGTTTGATTTCGGAGTTATCTTACCTACATGTGTTTCTATCCCCACCTAACTAGCCTCATCTGCCACTAATTGATTATAAACTAACTAAGCATCCCATATTAAACGTTGTTACACCCACTGCGTGAATTAACAAAATATCAATATAACATTTAATAAACAATTATTCACATAATAAACAAACACCAAGATACATTCCTCTGCGCTTTATAATTTATCTCATAGTCTAGATTTTTTACTGCTTAAAAACAGCGGAAGGTATAATAAAAAAAACGAAACACGATTATTTGCATACGTAATTCGTTTTAAACGAGTTTTAAGCCGTATAATTTGTTTCGTAAGAAATACATTTGAAACAGACACAAAAAACACAACGTTATTAGTTGACGCGATGAAATCTGAGGGGGTATTAAACATGTCGTTTTGGAGTACAGGGGGGACGGGGAGGGAGGGAGGGGGGTGTAGATGTCAGTGCTATGGACATGGGAATGTCTCGTGGACATCTCGGGTCGCATTATTTCACGAGAGCTGACATCGTCCATGGAGACAGGCCTGTCAGGGGAATGTCATAGACTGTGAAATATTTAGGTGGTTGGATGATGGAGGGGGGGGGGGGTAGCGGACATGTAGAGGACATGGGGTTTGCGGTTTTGTATTGGGGGGAGGGGAGTATACATCAACATTGTGAATTAAGTGGGTAGGGGAGAGTTTTATAGTTGTTTTTTTTTTTGGGTAGGGGAGGGGTAAGAAAATGTACAGCCATATAGTATGGGTTCATGGTGTGGTTTGTTGTAATATAGCTTGGGGGGGGGGGGGTAGCGCCACATAGGGTGTTTTCAATAACAAATGTGGGGTTTCCATTAACTGGCAGTAGTTGTGGTCTGTAGTATATTTGGCTGTAGAGGGAAGAGGTAAGGGGTGTATCACCAGATCGTTGGGGTGTGTTGTGATATTTTTGACTGTAGAGGTGGGGGGGGGGGTGTATTAATCGTTAGGGTGTCTTGATTGTAAATGACGGAGGAATGGGGGTGTATTAAAAGATAATGAGGTGTTATAGGCTGTAGAAGAGGGAAGAATTGGGTGTATATCAACAAGTAGTTCAAGTGTTATAGACTGTAGAAGAGGGGACGAGTGAGGGGTGTGCCAACATATACTTGAGGTGTCTTGACTGGAGATGAGGGAGAGGTGGGGTGTATCAACAAATAAGGTGTTATACGCTGTAAAAGAGGGGAGTGGGGGAATGACAACAAATAGCTGAGGTGTCTTGAAGCACATCTGTGGCTGAACTTCTGCATTCTGACACGTTCTTAAAAAAATATGCAAATACATGTGATAAAATTAAATACATCGTAAAGTAAAACATGTTTAACTTTAAATTTTGTTTAAGAAATTGCCTTTCACAATTAAAAATTTAAATCATATTACGCTGTAGGCGAAAAATGCATTCACAAGCAAGACATTTCTTGATGATTTATTGTATACGTAAGACGACCCCCCCCCCCTCACCTCTCTCTTTTTAACCCCGTCCCAATTCACTGCATAGGGAGAAAAAAGTTCTTGGTAGATGGCTGTAGATGTGTTTCTTTGTTTTATTTAAATTATTAACTACTTTACACTTATCTCACAACTAACTCACAACTATCTCACAACTACCTTATCATAACAACTGTGTTTCAACTATCTCACAACTATCTTACAACTATCTTACAACTATCTTACAACTATCTCACAACTACCTTATCATAACAACTGTGTTTCAACTATCTCACAACTATCTTACACCTATCTCACAACTATCTTACAACTATCATACACCTATCTCATAACTATATTATCGCAACAACTGTGTAACAAATCTCAAAACTATCTTACACCTATTTTTCAACTATCTTACAGTTAATACGTTCTCACTGCTCCATATAGTGTAACGAGCAGAGACTAGAATTAAGGCAATGTACAACAAGGGCGTTAAACAGCGACATCAGGAGCGTTAAGTTTTATACATTCAGGGCTATAATATAAAAACTGAAAATAAGCTTAATGCTTCGTATTTTCACGTAAATTTTATTTTGGCCATTGAAAGGCTTATTTATCCAAAACCTGGCAATGATGGGTAATTTTTTTTAACATTTCCATGTCAGGTGGGATACCACAAAAAGTTCGTTCAGTATTAGTCAATATATGATATATATGTGTGTGAGAAACATTAATGCGAAGCATTAATTAAATGATCTTTTGGATTTATATGGCAAAAGCACAGCAATGACAGATGACTTATCTAGTAATTTAATTAATCCTTAAATAATACAACGTGGCTTAAATTCTCAACATTTCCATATCATTTCAATAGTGATGTTTACAATGTACGCTTAGCTACACCCTTAGACTTAGGAAAGCGTGAAATATCTCTACATGTACGAAATAAAAATGAGGTTTAATTTCTTAGACACTATGATCAGGCAAGCTGTAGGGTCAGCCATTCATCATCAGGGCAGTGAGGTGGACAGGGGCCTGACTTAGACCACACCTGAGTGAAGTATTCAACACACTGGTCATCTTGTTTGGGGGCGGGGAGGGGGGGCCAGCTGAAGGCTTAGATGAGGCTGATAAACACGACTAGGTTTGTCTAAAGTTCCTCTTTGTTAGTTGTAAATTTAAACACAAACACAAACATGGACATACATATACAAATGTATATACATATATAAATATATATATATATAAATATATATATATATATATATACATACATATACATATATATATATATATATATATATATATATATATATATATATATATATATATATATATATATATATATATATATATATGTATATATATATATATATATATATATATATATATATATATATATATATATATATATATATATATATATATATATATATATATATATATATATATATATATATATATATATATATATACATATACATACATATATATATATATATATATAAATATGTTTAAGAAATTCATATTCATGTAATTTGCTATCTTTTTGTTTTCTAATTTTAATTTTAAAATAGGCCTATAATACATAATAATGTAAACATTTTGTTTTAGATTAATAGCCCAACACAAATATCTTATTTTTAACTTTATATTTTTTTCAGAAATATACCTCACCAACTCTACTAACGACAACTTCCATTTTTTTAGGCTAACCTCGACATTTACCCACGGCATTAGAAATACCACATTATTTAAAACAACGTTCCAATAAATTTTAATTACGCGTAATTAATGCAAACATGAAAATAAAAAAATCCCATAGCTAATCCATTAAATGAAAACTCACCAAAAGCGCCTGTAACGAATGTTCCGGTATTTAGAGAAACCCTGGAGTCTTAAGGGCATGTGTTCTTCCACCCTTCTGGTGTAATGGGTTTTATAGGAGGGGGGAGAGTCGGTTTCTGCCACCGGTCCATCAAGTCACAAATGACGGCAACATCATCTCCCCCCCCCCCCCATCACTCCACCACACCCCCCCACCCCCACCCCAACAAGATTTCTTACGCCGCCACACTAATCTGCTGAGATCTCCATAAACTTGTCTCGAACTGGCGAAGGTTCGAGAACAACACGAACACACACACACACACATACATACACACACACGCACGTACGCACACAAGAACAATACATAGAGACTCACATACACACACGTACACACTCACACACACATATATATATACACACGTACACACACAAACACAAGAACACATACTAATACTTGAAGAGATAAAAAACGAGATTTTAAAAAATAATTAAAATAAAGCGAGTTCCGTTTACGTCTTACAATGGATGGCTGCTACTCTAAAGTTCAGAGTTCATAGGTTAACGTTGAAACATTGGGTCTGTACTGTAGATGAAGGTGGATTTCCTCGTGTTACATGCACAACAAAGTGCGCTAAGGGATTCTAAGTTAACACACACCGGAGATTCTAAAATTAAACTTGCATGTTACTGCTGTAGTAATTGTAGTAAGGGAAATCTTTATATATATATATATATATATATATATATATATATATATATATATATATATATATATATATATATATATATATATATATATATATATAGTGAACGTGTATATAGTGAACGCCTATGTATATATATATATATATATATATATGTATATATAGTTTTATATATGGCAGTGGAATGTAGACATGAACCTGTAGACCGGGGTCGTCCATTAACCAAAGCACACTCACTAGTCAGAAGGTTAGATTTTTGTGTCGGGTGCCCCAAAAAGAGTTTGTAGGAGGTTGAAGATGGTATTTAAAATAACGTCTACATTTTTATTTTATTTTTTTTTCCATTTTTTTTTTTAAATTATGGAAGACGAAGGAATTGGAATGGTTAGTTTTTGCTTTGTGTGACGATAATAGTAACTCTTTATTAACAGCATGCCGACCTTTATGATGGACCTGTTCTAGGTGCGTGAAAGTCTTTCGCAAAGGGCGACGTAAAATTTATTTCACAATTTTGTCTTTAGTTTTCCGTGATGACGAAATTTGATCTCTTTTTAATTATTACTCAATTTTGCATGGTCTATTATATCAATAGTGTAACTATAGCTATTTAGAAATACATTCAGAATATAATTTTAATTTTAAAAATTAATTTAGAAAAGAGATTTTTAGGCTTTAAAATTGCGACTTCAGTTATGTAAATTCTTTTAGCTGTACACCGATATGTAAACACGCGAATAAACACACTAGCAAAGTCGTAAAATCTAGTAAACTCTGATAGTGTAGTACAAGGAATCCTTTGTCTGACATAGGAAACTCTATTTCGATTCCCTATATGCCGAAGTCAAGGAAACACGTGAGCTCTACTTTCTCTACCACTTGAGCCTCAGTTCTAGTTTGGTTACTTCACACTTTCTAGTGTGTATTCTTATACCAAAGCAAGTTTATAAATCTTTTATCTATCGGCTAATTTATTCTATAACTGTAATGTGGTTTTGGTTTGGTTTTTTTATATAACTTTAACCTTAAATAACACATAAACTTCAATTGTCAACTGCTGATTAAATCCCCCCCCCCCATGCAGCTTATATAAAGACAGTGACCGCGTTGATCCAGGCCATTATCGGTGACTCGAGTGTGAAGAGGTCAAGCCTTTCATAACCCCCACACGGAGCACCGACCTCGCTTGATTGATGAAGGACAAAATCAGAAGCCACGAGAAATAAACTCCCCCCCCCCCTTGTCTTGTTACCTTTTGGACCACACTCTAAGAAATAAACTCCCCCCCCCCCAAGTGTCTTGTTACCTTTGGACCACATTCTAAGACTTCCACACCCCTCCCCTATCTACATCTTTTGTTTAAAAACAGCGTGTTTTTCTCCTTATTCTATGATTAACCTGTTTCCTGGATCATTGTTTGAGATTCCCCTACACTTTAGTATGTGAAGTAAAGCTCTGTTTTCAGATTTGAACGATACACAGGGGCAGATAGTGCGCATGTTTCTTGAACTCAGCATTTGAAGGGATGGTGTAGTCAGAATTATACCCAGACGCCTTTACTTTCCCTTGCGCGATCCAGGTGCTCTGGAAAGTTGTTGGACGACTTGCCGACTTAAATCCGGACTGAGATCCGAACTCGAGATTTTCCGATTAGCAGTCTACCGCCCTACCACCCTACCACCCTACCACCCTACCACGTCACCCCATCCCTATATTTTGGTTAAAAGCCTTGGGTTTTTTTTTAAATTATATTTATTCTAGTCTCGTTATTCGTTATCATTAATTTAAGATGATACATTACGAATTCGCTGCATTAGAATTGGGTCAAAATTATGTTACAAGATTTGCCACAAATCCACAAGCAGGCATTGTGAATTAAATAAAAGCTTGTAATAAATCTCATATTAAAAAAATTAAGGAAAAAAGATTTTATTATCTTTACATATTTTTTAATTCACAAATGAAATTTACTCTAAAAAGTAAGAAATAAATTTAGTTTGGTGTAACCTTACTAAAGTCTGACTAAAAATAAAAGCATGGTTGCTCAATGAAGAAAAATGAACTTGTCTTTCATTAAGTTATTTGAACTTGTCTTTCGTTTAGTTATAGAAAGTAAACCTATCAACGAACTCTCTATGAATGGGAATATATTTTCCATTAGATGTGCCCAGGGCCCAATGCAATTTCAGGAAACGAGCTTGCATAATTATTATTCCACGGCCTTCAGATTATGTAAAAACAAAGACGTTTTTACTTTAGGAATCTGTGCTAATGTAATTATTATTCCAGGGGACTTGGGTTATTCTGAAAACATAAAAATTTGTTTTTACTTTTGTGAACGTGCTAAAGTAATTCTTTTTTCCATGGTTTTGAGAAAATATAGAGTGTTTTTTCCAGGGTCTAGACTGAATACAAAAACATGCATGTATCAAACGTTAATCAGAGAACGTAAATCAAATTCAAGGTCCCGATTTTAATTCAATCTTAAGGCGGTCTGATGCTAATTTAATCTAATTAATGCTAATAAAGATAAAAACGTTTCACGGAAGAGAGCCAGATTTTGGTCGGGTTAAGAAGATGTACATTGAGCTATGAATGTCCTTTAAGATAATACTTTTTAAATTGTTTCGTAGATGATTTAAATACAGATCAGCCTCAAGGTGAAAAACGAGGAAGTACAACCAGGAAATAGTATCGAAGTACTTTAGGTATAGGCTGGTATAGAGTCAGGGGTGATTTGGTTTGTAAAGATGGTCAGAAAGAATGCTAGGGACACCACCATGCCGCACGAAGTGTTTTACTGTTTCATTTTTTTTTAATCTAATTATTTTCTCTAAATTAGTTCATGGCTTAGCAGCCGACATGTACTGAACATTTCATAAGAGTGGTGCGAATGCTGCATGGCTTTATCACATGCATGTTCAGTTAGGTTGTCTTTTTGTTTCTCACTGGGGAATGGGGTCTTAGGTCTACATCCTTTAGTGCGAGCAGCGCATAATGATATGGTAAAAACGTCTGTTAGTTAGTTTTCTGGGCTAGTTAACATGTCTATAAATTAGCTCTTGATTTGGGACCCTCTAGTTTCTGGGTTAGGTTTACATGTGACCATGTAGTTTCTGTGTTAGTTTACATGGAACCCTATAGTTTCTGGGTGGGTCTCCATGGGACCTTTTAGTTTCTGGCATGGTTTCCATGGGACCCTGTAGTTTCTATGGGACCCTGTAGTTTCCATGGGACCCTGTAGTTTCCATGGGACCATGTAGTTCCATGGGACCCTGTAGTTTCCATGGGACCATGTAGTTCCATGGGACCCTGTAGTTTCCATGGGACCCTGTAGCTTCCATGGGACCATGTAGTTTCCATGGGACCCTGTAGTTTCCATGGGACCCTGTAGTTTCCATGGGACCCTGTAGTTTCCATGGGACCATGTAGTTTCATGGGACCCTATATTTTATGTGTTCGTTTCCATGGGACCCTGTAGTTTCCATGGGACCCTGTAGTTTCCATGGGACCATGTAGTTTCATGGGACCCTATATTTTATGTGTTCGTTTCCATGGGACCCTGTAGTTTGTGGGTTAGTTTCCATGGGACCCTGTAGTTTCCATGGGGTCCTGTAGTTTACGTGGGACCCTGTCAGTGGCGTAGCCAGGAATTTGTCATGGGAGGGGTTCAACCATTTTTCCATACGTAAAAATTCACACACACACACACACACACACACACACATATATATATATATATATATATATATATATATATATATATATATATATATATATATATATATATATATATATATATATATATATATATATATACATATATATATATATATATATAGGGGTGTGATTCCATGGGAGGGGTTATAACCACCCTACCCCCCCCCTTGCCTACGCCACTAGACCCTGTATTTTCTGTGTTAGTTTCCATGGGGCCCTGTAGTTTCCATGGGACCCTGTAGTTTCTGGTTTAATTTCCATGGGAGCCAGTATTTTCCATGGGAGCCTTTAGTTTCTGGGTTAGTTTCCATGGGACCCACTAGTTTCTGGGTTAGTTTCCCCAACCACTCCACGACTGTTCCCTACACAACCCCGACGTAGAAGAGTTAAGCCCTCGCAATAAAAGCTAACACCAGTGACAAGGTTGTAACTTCATTTCCTCGTTCCATAGAGACAAGGTGAGACGTCAGACCCATGACCTTTAACCCCGTCTTTACATAAATAACTCGTATCATAACATGGATACGTAATACTAAGGTCGTTGGGGGGGGGGGGGGTGTGAGGGGGGTAGAGAAATAGAAATGGGTGTATTAGTATTTCAGAACAATAGTCGGTTGAAAATGGCGAAAAAATAATTTTATTCTTCATAAAGAAAAATTATAATAAAATTAATTAGGCCTACAATCCTTTTTTTTTCCTTTTTTTCACAAGC